ACGGACCCAAAAAAAAAAAAAAAAAAAAAAGAATTCCAAAAATCTGAAAACAATATATGTTATGCAGAAGAATAAACTAAACAACATTTGCCTCAACGTTACATCCAAATTCGTTACCAAACTTGAAATACAAATAAAATACTAAAAATAAATAATAATAATGACAATTACAAAAAATAAAACGAGAATGAAATTATTGAGTGGGCGAGAGCACGTTTTTGACACCGCCATCTTTGGCGATTTTTGATTTTTTTTTGGCTGTGAGAAATGCCATGAAAATGTATATATCGTCAAATAGAACTGCCCGGTAAACCGTAGGCAGAGAGGGAGAATATATGTGTATATTACATAATAGAGAATCTACAAATAAAGTTTGAAAAAATAATAATAATTTTGTTCATGCCCCGAAATAAAAGAAAAACAAAAAGTGAAAAGAGAGAAAAAACAAATTAGTGAGTGGGCAAGCAAGTTTTGACACCACCATCTTTGCCGATTTTTCATTTTTTTTTTGGCTAAACAGAATGGCGTCAAAATTTAGAGGGAGGTACCTTACATCCCAATAACAATATTTACGTGCCAAATTTTTTTTTTGCGGGGTCCGAACCCCTTCAGGTTCGGGCCCCGTACGGGGACCCGAACGCCCGAACGTTCGGGGGTCAGCTTAGGAGCCTCCGTACGTTCGGTCTGGCAACCCTGATATAGATAAATATAATATAGAATTGAAAAATAGTTTCATTTCATCTAGGTTATTGGAACTCCGGATCACCCTGGATACCCCACGCACACACACTGTACACACACACATACACACCTAACACTAAGCTATGGCAGCTATGGTCGCCACTAACTCTAACCTATCAGCAGCTATGGCTGCGCTAACTCCTTCTAGCCCACTTCGACTTCAGGCTCCTCTGCAGACCACCTCGCACAAGTCACCCTGGCAGCGCTTCCGCATGGCTTCCGCAGGAATGAATGAATGGCTGTGCGATGCCTGTTTATTTATACCTCTGTAACTCGTTCGTCTGCCTCTTTCCACCGGGCCCATGGTGCACACAGTCCCCCTTGGTACTTGCTGACTGTGCAAAGTGAGACTGGGACTGGGTACCGCTGACTAAGCGAAGTTGGGCACACCACTTGCCCACTTGCCTCTGGCCCTCTGTGTAAAACGTGAGAGGAAACTTGAAGGGCCACTTCCGGACCTTCCGGAAGACCGAGGACTTGGCCTTTCAGTACTGTAGCAGCTACGACCTTGACCCTTCAGGACTGTAGCAGCTACGACCTTGACCCTTYAGAGGAGCTACAGCTACGACTTCTAGAACTCACTAAGACTCCTATCCGACAGGTCTACAGATCGAATCCCCTACAACCTATGGACCTACAACAGCCTACCAACGATTTGCGAATACACAGGTTACGGGTTCAAATACTCAGGGGTCAGCTCGATACTGTACATGGGTGAGGTAAGGTCTGGGGATCAAACCCCGGGATCTGCATCTGCCTCTGCAAAGGTGAAAACCGTTTCAATATAAGTGGTTCGTTGCAAAAGTCAAGCACAAGGCGAAAACCAAAAAATACAAAGTCCCGAACAAGGAGAAAACCAAAAAAACAAAGGTCTGACAAAACCAAAAAAACAAAAGCGACGCATAAGGAGAAAACCAAGAAAAAAGGAGAATCTTATTTTAGAAACTTCCCGCACTCCCAAAAACAAGNGGGGGGAAATTCCTTGCCATGTTTTTGCATCGCCCAGTTCAGCCGGGCGGACCCCCCCGGGCCCAACCGGCCGGGGTCCGCCCGGCCGGGCACCAGCCCAGCCTAGCTAAAATTTCAATTTCCTGTTGCATTTCCCGTTATTTGGAAACTCGGAATATTTTTCCGAAATTCGTTTTTCTGAAAACGATACGGGAAATCCCTCTTGCAGTACCATTTTCCAAACTGCGAATACTCTCATCTGAGTAAGTCCGAATACTCGGTATTTCTTTTCGGAATTTTTTTTTCGCAGTTCTAGGATTCTGTCAGTCACAGTTCTATAATCATTTGCAATCTGAAGTTCGAAAACTTTTTGCTCATTGGATAAGTTCGCACTTCAAGGGAGGTTGGGAGACCCAAACTTTTCTTTTTTGATTAGTGGCTCCTTATCTGGGCGATTATCCCGCCCACCCCTCCCCACCTATGTTGTTGCCACCTTTGGTCTTACCTTCTCTCTCGGTCTCCGGGTACCCCCTGCGGCGGCATTGGTGAGTTGCCACCACGTCAGCAGGACGCGTCAGCAGGACACGTCAGCAGGACACTTCAGCCAACAGAGCAGGAAATACCACGTCAGCAGGAATTTTGTTCTTTTTTTTCGGGGACCTTCTTTGGTCCTTGCACGGTCAGGCCGCCAGGGAAAACAAGGTGACCCGGGTGGCCTGGATGGTAGCCTAGTATTTAATTGAATTTATTGAATTTACACCTTGGAAAAAAAGAGACTGTTTCATCCTCAATTTGGTACTCTTTTTTTTCCTTAATTGATTATCCGAAACCAGCGGCACCATTTATGCTTCTTTCCATCTGATCCAGGTCATAATATACAGCTCTCACCGTATTCGAAATCTCGTCTAGCAACTTCACTATCTCGATGGAAGGAGGTGTCATCTTTAACCGTGCGATCAGCTCTTCAGATCTGAACAAGAAAACGAAAAAGAAAAAACACGCACAAAGAGAAAACAGAAAAAAAGAGGACATTTAGATACTGCCCACATTCCCAAAAACAACCGACATGGCAAACAAGAGCAAACTGAAAAAACAAAAGTGGAAGGCCTTTTTCACGCTGCAGACGCCAAATTCGAATTCCAGGGTCAAAGGTCACTAAGTCAAAAGAGGCCAAGAAGGCCGAAATAGAAATGGTCTTGTCGGGTACCCCACAGGGTCAAAACTCGGCTGGTACCCAGCCTCAAGTCAAGTCCCCTCAGTCAAAATGCAGCAGCGCACCAACAAAAGTCTGGAAGGTAATGGGCCTCAACATTCCAAAAGCAAACAGGCCACGGGTGACGGGTGCCAGTCAAAGTCAGACCCATAACCAGTCAAGCACAGGCCAAGTGAAGCGAAGCCCAGTCCAAGTCAATAAAAGAAACTGGCCTTGACTCATTTGTGCAGATTGCTCATTCGTGAGAAAGTGGAAGCGCTGCTAGTGGCTGAGCGCTATCACGAGCAGCTGATCTCTAAGAGCCCTGCTGGGCAGCGCTATGCTGAGGCAGAGAGGCGACCATAGCCACATGGTTGTAGAGTGAGGTAGAGTGAGAGCAGGACCCGGATGTATCCAAATTGATCTTCAAGTGAGAGAGAGAGGGAGAGAGAGAAAGAGAGTGAGGCAGAGAGGTTGAGTGATACAAGGCGAGAAAAGGAGTGGGACAGAGTGGGAGAGAGAGAGCAAAGAGAGTGAGTTACTTACCTGGTTGACGATGCTGGAGGATGCATTGATGAGCGCTAGGTGACTCAGGCTCTAAATCTGCATGATATGATGTTGCGCTGTTGAGCACTTGGTGACATGAACTCTGGCTTTGTATAATAATACCATTCATTGAAGTTTATGAGCTGTGCTAATCTGGTTTCACCATTTCTGGATTGCAGTGTGGATTTTGGTGTGAACTGTCATGGTTGCAATCAGACTCGTATACTTCGTCACTTCACACGCATACAAACAGATGGCGAATCACTCTGGCGCATAGCGCCCAACTCAAAGCTCGAAGACATGGAAATCAAGACACAGTTCAGATATGAGCTCGCTACAACAGGCTATGGTGCCTCAGCACCCACACCTCGCAACTCTTGTCTCTGTGCGCAACACCACTGTTCGCCTCACACTTCATTTATGGTTTCATTGTATGGAGTATATAATTACTAATACATAAAGCAAAATATACATTTTCTATATTCTATAAATATTATATAAAATATATAATAGAGAATTTATAAAACAAAGAATATAAATATAATATATATCAGGGTTGCCGGCGTTCGGGACGGGCCGAACGCCCGAACCCGAACGCCCGAACGTTCGGCACCCCCTCCCGATGCATTCGGGCGTTCGGCCGAACGCGGACTGTGGCATACTGCGTAGCCACACGGGCCCTGTAGGACCCGTCCCGGACATTCAGCCTAAAAGCCTAAAACTTAGGATCTACAGGCCCCGGTCGTTTCAGCCTGAAAACTGAAAAACGAGGGTCTGCAGGCCCTACTCCGTTTCAGCCTATTTCTGGGTCTTTCAGACCCAGAGTTTTTCCAGCCTGAAACGGAGGGCTATTCTTAGGCCCAAGGCTATTTTTAGGCCCTCATTTGTTTCGACCTGCCCTAAGATTCAGGCACGAAAACTGGGTTTCGGAACAGGCTATTTCTGGCCTGTTCCCACG